AAAAAAAAATAAAAAGTAAAAAAATAAAATAACTGAAAATGAAAATAAAAATAAAAATAAAAATCATGAGAGTTTATTTTAAAAAACATAAACAAAGCAAAGCCGGCAAAATTTTTTATCTTTTATCTTTAATAACTTAAGCAGTCATATTTCACATTGAACTCGTTAATATGAGATACATATATTGTGACAAATTAGTTTGTTTAATGATTGCCGGTATCTAATTGTCAAATATAAAGAACGTTATAGATACAAAGTAGATTTATAAATGATTTATGATATGAAAAAATATGGAAAATATAATTCAATAAATATGTACTTAGATAAAAATATACAGAAATAGCAATAGATATAAAAAAACTATTTTTATTTCAACTATTATTTATCTATTTAGTCATCTATCTTTCCAAACTTATGTATATCTTTTTATAGGTGATTTTTGTCTAAAAGTTTATTAAGATAGATTTTTTTAACTTTGTATCTCAGTAATGATTTATGTTATAAAATATATTGAAAAATTATTTTTACTTTACCTATTATTTATCTCTATTTAGTCATCTATCTTTCCAAACTTATCTACATAAAGGTGATTTTTGTCTAAAAGTTTATTAAGATAGATTTTTTTAACTTTGTCTCTCAGTAATGATTTATGTTGTAAAAATATTTTGAAAATATAATTTATTATAGTTAAAAACATAGTTAAAAACACATAGGAAACACATAGGTTATCTGATTTTCGTTGCTTCAACTGTTATCTATCTATTGAACTATCTATTTTTCTACATACATGTAAAAATCTTTGTTAAAAACACAAGAAAATAGCACTGAATATAAAAAAGTGTTAGGTTGTTCCTTTATCTATTATCATCTATCTAGTAATCTATCTTTCCAAACTTATCTATATCTTTTTATAGGTGCTTTTTGTCTGAAAATTTATTCAGATAAATTTTTCTTTAACACTCTCGATCTCTATACTATATATATAGTATATAAATGATTTAAGTGTAAAAATATATTGAAAATATAATTTATTAAATACATAGTTAAAAACACATTGAAACACATAGGTTATCTGATTTTCGTTGCTTCAACTGTTATCTATCTATAGAACTATCTATTTTTCTATACTTAACTATATATACTACTCATATATGTATACACTCATAGTGTTTTCTGACCAAATGTTTATTCGTATGGATTTTTTTTATACACTTCGTGTATTAAACTCACGATTTTGTATATTATTATTATTGCTATGGGATGGATTCTAACAGCACATGTGTGACTGACTCTTTATTCTCTTCGCAGAATCTACACATTACAACCGTATATGGTATATACCCAGTCTCATAAGGTGGTATTATAGTTTACAGTGCCCTCTTAAGAGTCCTGTGATGATTCTAAGTTTTTCTTTTGAAAGGTTTTTACAATCCTGGTATCTATTTTTTACCAATAAATATTTTTTTACCTATGTTTTGCTACCAATAAGTGATTTGGAATACGTTAATCCTGGTATATTATCCCAGTAAACGATTTTCTATATGTGTTAAAACAAAAAAAACTACGACCAATTTTTCATTTGCAAAGTATCATATGAAAAAGTCGTCATGAAAAAACTTTCCGTCCATATCGTGTTTATTGACCTTAGATCAAAAATGTAATTGCGTATATATTTTAAAGGCTTTGTTACCAAGGATTTTCTTTTTAGAACCTAAGTTTAAAATGACATTTACTGCTACTGAAATCTAACTATCTATCTATGTTGGGCTTGAGACTTTTTAAATAAACATTAGTTGTATATTTGAAAATTTAATTTTGCTCAATATATATTTTTTTTTGCTCCTATAAATATTGATAATAATAACCATTGATAATAATTTGATATCGAAGACGAGAACGAGCTTTTATAATAAAGCGTAAACTAAATTTAAGCATATGTTGAAAGGAGCGATACCTATAAATACAACAATTGACAGCTGAGGAGGTGTTTACATCATTTACAGAGTTATCATTTAACGGTATTAGATGTAGTTATGCGAATGGAAGCCACTCTAGTTTTAACTCTATATCGACATCCGAGAATCGAAGGACGAAAAAGGGCCCAAGTCGTTTCGTGGTCTATTTCGGCTAATCCTTTACTTCAGTGGGGTCACTTGCTGGGCGGCGCGCTGTCCCAACGTCCCACAATATATATAACGGTATTCAAAATGTCTTTTCGAACCCTTAACTTTATATGGGATAAAAATAAAAGAAATTTCAATTTTCCATACACTACTACCCTATTATTTAACAAATTTATTTTATTTTTATTTTTTTTATAATATTACAATGCGTATATATTTTTTTACGTATGGAGATCAAGGCACCATTTAATTTTTATTGCTTGGCAGTTGTTCAATTTTGTTATTAATTTTAAAGCCAACTGCAGATACTATTTTAGCTTTAAACGATTTATGTTTGGCAGCAAAAAATAAATGAATAATTTTATTTGAAGTCAGTAGTGTTTTTTGTATGAGACAAAAAATTTAAACACTACACAATGGCTTTCTAGGGAATTTCCTTTGAGCTCGGTTAAGTTCAAGTTGAATGGGTCATTGAACCAAGACGCAAACGATTTTTCGACCAAATACGCGCAACTCAAACTTTTTTTGTTAGCTGACTAAAAATCATTTAAGAAGAATAACTTTTTTTTGGGAAGATAATATTAATTATTTAATTAAAAAACAAAATGAAAGTGTGTTTTTAAACATAAGGTTTTATACACATTAGCCAAAAAAAGATTTAGCAAACAAAATTGAAAGTTTCTGTTGAAACCATCAAACTTAAAAATGAAAGTCAGATGATAATTAAACAAAAAAATGATTAAAAATTGATGAACCAGAAAATTAGAGTTAAAATACTTTAAAGAAATTAATGGAAATATATAACAATTTTAGAAGCCAATTTTAGACGATGATAGATATTAATTTAAACAAATTGCGTTTACCACGAGCTTTTGTTATTATATACTCCCTCTTCCAGTAGTGGACATCTTTAGGGTTTCTATTATTCTATAATACATGCAATTCTGATTTAAGAATTAAGTGTATAACTTAAAAAATTACAAAACTACTTAGTTTTGTTTTAAAATGCTATAAGATTTCAAAATCATATACGAAATAGAGTGTCTCAAGAATTGAACCCGGTTCCTTGCATTTAACTCAGCATCTTAACTACATTGGCAAATGTGTTCTTGACAATTCTTATTCTAATTTAAGAATTTTATTTAATTTTTGTTAAAAAATATGTCTCTATGGGAAATTCTTAGTTCCCCATAGACAATGGGAATGCATTGTCAAATTTTTTTTCTTTAAGTTGTCAACACTGTATTGTATTAACATGCGATATAAGATCCCGATCTTCCTGCTTAGTATGTTAACATCAAGTGTTTTTAAAAATATACATTACTTTACTCCTTACCCAGGTGTATTTTCATTAGGTGCCTTAACAAATATACTTTTGAATGCTCTGCGATTACACAAGATCATCGTTAAGCCAAAGTTCTTAACAGCAAAATATGTGATCGAAATATGTGATCAAAAAATCGCCGTACTCAACTAACATAACTCCATAGCACTTTTTTCTGTTCACGAAGCTAAAACACTAGACACGAAAATACTTCGTCCCTATAATGGCTCTAAAAAAATTAGATAAATGAGTTGAAAGCCAAACTGAAAATGTCTGAAATGTTACGTCAAGCGACAACTTATGGCGTTATTGATTGGTTAATCTGGATTCAATCTAGATATACTTTTGATCTGTCAAATTTGGTTGCCCAATTGAACGTTTTCAGTGTACTCTAACATTTTTATAGTTTTGTTAGTGTTCATTTAAATTGTACACTATTTATAAATAAATACATATATCGAATGAAATCACATTTTATTTGACAAGTCATATAAAACAGATGGTAATTTCAGCGTAATGTTACTACTCTGACCAAATATCTAGAGTGTTATAAATTAATCTTAAGTGTTATACATTTCGCTCGAATCTTATCAATCAAGAATGAAAATTACACAAAAAGTGAATGCCGGTTAAAAAAATTACCCCAGGTTTAAAAATCGAAAACGCCATTACGAATCGAAAATGAAAATAACACTAAAAATAAATCTCGATTGAAAAAGTTTCCACAGATTAAGCTATCCAAACGATATTACTTTATCTGCTTGTATAATTAGTTGTACTTAATAATTTTCCAAAAAATGTATTTTCAATATCGATTTTATCTAACATAATACTGGATTTACACAAGAGTTTTGTTTGTAATTTTGGCTGTCAAAAATTTTCATTTCGCATTGAAAGCAACAACAATTGACAGTTAAAATTACAAACAAAACTCTTATGAGAATCCAATATAAGTTATTAAGACCGTGTGCGAGTTCAAGTAAATTAAGGTAAAGTAAATTCAAATTTTCTAGGGATTTTTTGCACTGCACTTATGTAAATACTTATTTATTTATTTATTGCACTTATTCATTATTTTTTGTTAAAAGTTTTAAAATAAATTTATTTATTTATTAAACATCTTATAAAAATTTCGAAACTCTGGTATATAACAACATTCGCTGCCATACCGACATATCAACTATTTCCCTCAATTTACCATCAACTTACTTGAAATCGCACAATGCCTAAATTTTATGATTAAATAGCTTATTAGATTATAATAAATGAGGTAAGAGTGATCTCATTTTACCATTTAATAAATTATAATTTTTTTTAGAAGGAATACCTACTATTAGTCAAATTTAATGATAATAATTTTTTTTTAATTAAACTCTAAAAGCAGTAAAGACAATACTATATCCAGAAATAATTTACAATACAATTCATATCTACTGCTTATATTATTTCATTTTTATTGTTTATTTGCCATCTACTACTCATGCCATTTTATTGTTTTGTTTATTTGCATAACAATAAATATTGTAACTAATATGGAAGCAAAAAATCGAAACTTACCCATTTGGAGAATCGATGACTTCAGGTGTTGTTGGTACTGGACGATAAATAAGCGGCTTAACACTGCAATTGTCGACCTCATCGAGAAAGACAATATCGTGCACCGGCGTAATACGATGATCGGTTGAGGTAAAATGGAATTCGCGAAATGAGCCCTGCAAAAGGCAACGCAGCGTCGGCGCAGACTCATTGGGTAACTAACGGAAAACAACAAAAAAAAAATTAATGACAATGCGACTGCGTAGAAAAAAACAGTTACTTAATTCATTTTTAGTAATAAAAAAAATACCTTAACTTTAGCATTTGTTGTGGAAAACATTGGAAAATTTCATTTCTCACTACAAACGCGATCACAACACAACAAAATAATAAATTTGTAAACAAAAACAAGAAAACTACGCGCAGCTGCTCAGAAAATTCTAACAAGAAATTATAAACGCTACGTAAAAACTGAGAATAATCGAACGGTAGAATTTTAAATGCAACACGCCGAGTACCGCAATTCAAACACAATATACCTTTTTTATTACATTTTTTTTTAGCAAATAAATTTTAAACTTTCATTTTAAACACATTTTCAGGCACTTCTCATTTATTTATTCAAGATTAAGCAAGACCAATTGGCGCCGTTATTTCATGTAAACTTCAACACACACACATTATTGAAATTTTTTCCCTTTATCTTTTGATAAAAAAATTTAATTTTCATAACATAAATACTTTTTACTAAATTTTTATATGTATTAATAAAATCACTAAAAACAAAAAAACCTCTGATCAACAAAAAATAATAATAAAAATAAACGTCTCATTTCCTTGGACCATTCACACAGCTGATTGTCATTTTTGTATTACACTTACTACCTCATTCGTATTGAACTGACCATGGGAAACATGCGATCGTGTTAGTGTTTTATCTCATTCTTATCATTTGATCATTCTACCTTTGCAAAAGCGAGATATGTAATACGTGCATTTGAGAGAAATCCAGTTGAGAATTTAGAGTTGCCAGCTTTTGCTTTACTAAACAGTCTACAGGAAGATATATTAGAATTATGCTATGAAAACAATCAAATGATCATCGATCCACATATATGTTGTTGCTTTCAGTATTTTAATATTTTTATATAAATATTTTTTTTCAATACAACAACAAATGTGGGAATTCAAAATCAGTAAATTGTCTACTGTCGCTTAGGATATATAGTTCAAAATTGGTAGCTTAAGTAGTTTTCCATTGGTAAATTTGGATTCAATCTACATTTACTCTCGATCTGTCAAAGTATATTATCCAATCAAACAATTTCAAAAATATCCAATACAAAAGTGGTTTAGTAGGAATTTATATTTTTCATAATTACATATATCGAATATCAAATCACACTGTGTTTGTCAAGTCATAAAAAAACCGTAATTAATTTTAGGGTAATCTTACTACTCTGACAAAATATCTAGAGATATAAACAAATTTCTAGTAATATAAATTTTACTGTGATTTTGCAAATTGATAATCAATTAATAATCGAATAGTTCAGTAATCTCAAATTACTTGAAAATAAACTACTCATCGGTCTGTATATCTTAGATCAAATATGAACTCTGTGCTTAATATTTCTTAGCATATCCAACAGTCCAATCGTGATTTGTAATAAATAATACAAAAAAACATATTAAATTAATTGGATCACTGTTTCGGTTACGTCCATTGAACTGCAAATTTGTAACTAATATACAATAATATATATAAATAAGTACAATAAATATATATATGGAGGCAATTCAATAACATAATCAATATAATAAAAAATTCTAACAATAGATAATAGATATATCATTGTCGATACCAACTCAACAATAGTTGAAATTATTTAATTTGAATATAACAAAGATAAATATTTAAATGTAGTGTAACAATCGAAAACCAGGTCTGCTCCACGAGACACTCGTAGTAACTTCGAGTAACACTGTATATACACAAGTGTGTACCATCAGCAGTCTTTACTTGTTACACAGACTTTACTTGTACATTTTATTTCAAGAAAAATTTGAATTGATATGTGAATCAGGTGTTTTGATTTGAATTTAAATTTTTGTATAGTTTATTTGCACGGCACTGGTATTTACACCAGACTTTACACAAAGGTGTCCCATGAAAATCTGTATAAAGAGCGTAATTTGACACTTTATTTGTGTTACACTCTCAGTTTGTAATTTAGTTATGTTTTATTTGAGTTTTGCTACGAGCAGCTTGCGAAACAAACCTATTATTAAATATAAATAAATTTATAAATAATATAAATTAAATATAAATATTTAAATAAATATTAAATTAAATATTAAACATAGTTTATTTTTAATTTAAGCATCTTTATGGAACGAGTACTATTTCGCAATTGTACTTTGGTATTATCAACGATGTGTTTTTAAAAATCTGTTATTAAAAAGTGCTATAATGGGATAGAAAAATAATTAATACTTTCATGATTAAAAACGAAATCGTTTTTAAAAAGTGTTTAATATATATAAAATTATTTTGAACTTTGCATTATAATACTTTTTGTAATTGAACTTCATTTTATAATAACAGTTTTTATTTTTGAATTAAAACATTAAGTAATCATATGCAATTCCTTATATTTATCGATTATATTTAGACATTTAGTTCACAGCTACTGTCATGCACTGAACATACGACAGCTGTCAAAAAGTGAGATAGCTAATGATAAGCGAACAAGTGCTATTAGTGAAAAGGAAACCAAAGGAGTTGTGCGGCATAAAAAAGCCGACAGAAATAAAACCAAGTAGCATTTATTAAAATAATTTGGTTAGTGACAAATAAAGTTTTATTTTTTATGTATGAAATACGTAAAATAAATAGTGTATAAAATATTACAAATAAATTTGTGTTTTATGTTTAATAAAATAATACATATTTTTCAGAATTAAAATATAAATTTGTGCGGAACAAAATTTCCCCATAACAACGCTGCCATTTGTCAAAAGCAGCAATAAATAAAAAGTTTTGTAGTAAGTTCAGTTAATAATCGCGCTTGTATTAAAACGAAAAAAATATAATAATTTACTTGTGTATTTTTTCTTTAAATAGTTTATTATACACTGCCCAGTATGTCTCATACAATTTTGTTGGTTCAACCTGGCGGTCGACCAGAGACGCGCACGTACAGTGACTACGAATCGGTTAATGAGTGCATGGAAGGTGTTTGTAAAATCTATGAAGAACACCTCAAGCGTCGTAATCCAAACACCCCCACCATTACTTATGATATTAGTCAGTTGTTTGACTTCGTGGATCAGTTGGCAGATATAAGCTGCCTTGTGTATCAAAAGTCAACAAATACTTATGCGCCATACAATAAGGAATGGATAAAGGAGAAGATATACGTATTGCTGCGCCAGGCTGCTGGTAGCACAGACTGAATTTCATAAATTTTTCTTTCAAAATTTAATTTAATTGGAGGTTCTTTTCTTACTATGTCATCATTAAATAAATAAAGGTAAATATTGCGCTTAACATTTAATTTAAAATATTTTTGCTAAAATATTCTTTTATTTTTCAGATTTTACTAAGAGTCTCCAATATCGAAATAAATATTTGCATTAAAGTATACTCTGTTTTATAAAAATCTTCATCTTACTAACTCATTACAATATTCTTATTGTTCAATAGATCAATCAATATTAATAATAAATCGTTAACAAAAAGAAAAATTGACAAAAATCAACATTTTTAACAATTTTCTGTTAAAATGCATAAGTCAAGAATATTTCTTTGAAAATTTAGTAAAATAGTAACAATACTAATCATAATTTAATACAAAATGTTTTTGTAAATGCCGCAGAAGCGACTTTATTTAATTCTTGTAAAAAGTTAGTTTTAGTTTCATAAAATAAAAAAATATGTAAAAAATAAAAAATGCACTTGATTGAAATTAAAAAAAATCGTTACTTTAGGCGAAGTATAAGAGGCAATTAAATTTAAACAGCACAAATAGTTTATATTGAAAAATATTATAAATTAAAGTCTTTGTACATTATTAAATAAATTAATTTTATGTTTAATTAAAAATTAAAATTATAAGAATTTAAAATTAAGTGTGTATCATATTCCAGCAACACAACACCACATAAATAATTTGGTGTTGCAGTCATAAAGGTGTTTAAAAAAAATTTTATAGTGTGAAGTATAATTAATTGATATTTTGTAAAAATAAGAAACATTTTATATACATATATATATATATTAATAACCATCAGACAAATGGAAATCTCTTTTGAAAATCGTTATAAAAGAAACTACGTATAATTCCTTGATCAATGACTAACAGTCAAGTGGAAATCTTTCTTCTCTTCCACTTGTATCCAAAATATCCAATAAGATTGCCTTTAATATCTCATTTTTTATGCCGTTTGCAATAATTAGAATTCCACATTTTATATTTTTATCATACAACATTATTGTGTTTAGAATTATCAGAAGAAGTAATTGCATGGATTCCATAGTATCAAATCAATCTGTTGGTAGAAAAGAAATAGAATAGGCAGGATTTTCTGGCGAAAATAATGAAAGAAATGGAATACGCAATTGAGCATTTAAGAAATTATTCCAAGACAACTGATGATGGATATTTGGCAATATTCGAAACAGCTGTATGGTCAGCTAAAAATTCAATTAATTAAAATAATAAAAATTTTTGTTGTTGCAATTCACTACTGTTCAACGAAAACTTCTTTATTTAAAACAATAGTTTATATTTAGAATTTAGTTTCTTTCTTCAACGCGGACATTTAATATCAATTTAATACAAAAAAAAAATTAAAATATAGAATCTAATCAAGGTTATAATCAAGCCACACATTTAAAGGGGTTCTATTCAACTAAAACATTATTCTGATTATTATTTTATTATTCTAATTGTTGTTAAAATTTTGCCCTCGTAATCACGGATGTTTATAATTCCTAAGTCCAGTTAAACTACGTGTTGGCATTTATTCCGCAGTCTGGAACCATTTTACTTTCCTTTAAGTATCATTTTGTTACCTAGCTTTCGAATAACATAATCAAATCATATTATACTATGTGTCTTGACATTGAAACATTGGGAAACAATACCAAATTTTTACTGGTAAGAAATTATAGACATATATCCAAGTAATGATGAATAAATACCTGGTTAGAAATTGATCGATTCATTATCAAAGACATCTAGATATGAAGAAATACCTTAAAACTGAACAATTCCAATGTAAGATAGACTTTAAAGACAATTTGGGACAAATGAGTAAAATGTCTTCAATGGATTTTGCCACTCTTAAAGACTGGAAACCTCCAAATCTCTTGTGCAGCGTCTGTGTTTGAGTAATAATATTCATTCTTAACGTAAAAACTGTAAATTATTTCAGTATTAGTGTCTGCTACGTATGTTTGTGTAGTTATCTAATGATGCTATCCTCGGACAGTCGATAAGACAATGTCTATTGTGAAATCCAATAGCAATAATATTAATTAATTGTAGAAAATTACTAACTAATATTAAGAAAATGTGATGTACATATATTAAAATAAAGATAAAATATACTAACTTCTTCACAAATACCAAAAAATAGAAAAAGCATCGGATATCTGATAAGAATTCTATGTACAACATAAGGTGTTATTATAGTATAGTACCCTAATGTAAAATAAGCACTTATCTTAATCCAATAATTTTGCATAGATTATTTTATAACAAAAATAGATTCAAGCTAAATATGTTATGTATTTTCTTCTCTGCTTATGGAATAATTATACGATCTGAGAGAGAGGTGCTGAGATTTTTTTTTCGTAGTAATAAAGTTTTAGAGATAAGATTCACTATCTATTATTAATATTACATGCTGGAGTTTATTCGCAAATAAAAAAATTAAATGAAAATAATATCAGAGGAAGCAATTCAATGTCGTATGAATTTTTTGCAATTCTAATTTTATTTTATTGGTTCACCTAATTTTGACGTCACGATTTACTGAAGAAAATTCAGTAATTATCTGAAAAGCTGAGTCAGAAAATTTTATTGGGGCTACAAAAAATGTGGGTTTGGATTTTTACACTTTTATATATATATACATATATATGTATGTATAACATTTTGATTTTTAAACAATAAATAATGTAAGTAATTAAAATAGTATGTAATGTTATTTATTTATTATATATACATATATAAATATTTAGTTTACATATACATATGTGTGTAATGAATGTATATTAATTACTGTGTAATAGTATATAATGTTTAAGATGAAGTATCAGATTTTATGGTTACATGAGTTTTCTGAACTTTTGTTTATTCAGGGTTAACGTAAATGTAATTTATATTTTGAATTGTTTTTAATAATTTTTTTTTTAAATCAAAATTTTAAACACAATTAAATAAAATGTAGGAACTGACCTGAAGATGACTAAGTGAGTGCTCCCAGTTATGGAAACATTTTCGGAATTAAAAGTATAAAATTTCATATAAAGAAAATTTTTATTTAATCACTGATAATTGCAATATTATTCATAATTTCTTCTGAAATAACAAAACAATGGGCACGTCTATTAAAAACTTAAACAAAGGTTATAAAATATGATCCTATTTACACACTCAATGTAGAGGCCCGTAAAAAAATTAATTTCCGGGTGATGCATTACTAATGAATAGACATATGTATGCATGGAATCATCCGTTTTATTTCAAAAAGAACTTCAGTTCCTTAAACCTTACCCCGTTTGAGATTCAACATATCGAGTATATCTATTTAGATTATTGAATCAATTTCTGAGCGCTGAATTTCTTTTTCTTCATCTTTTTCATCATTCTTTTGAAATCCATTAAATTAAAAAGTATATTAAGATATATAAATCCGATCGTTATTCATAACTAATATTATTATATTAACACCTAAATTTATAAATTAAACCAATTAAATCATAACATTCATCTATTATAAACTTAAATAATCGATTTGGTTTCTGACTTATCCTTTTCCCTTTTTAATAGAAATATTCACCAATACGATGACATTTTCTCTGTGAATGCCCGGCTTTGGCATCCAGAAGAAATAGATTTTTAGTAAGATACTTCTTTGACAGTTTATTAGACTGTTAATCGGTGAAAGACCTACTAAATTATCTAAAAAATACTCTTCTATATAAGGAGTTCGAGCGAGTAATGTGGTAGAGAAACGGCTTAAAATCTTCAACCGAGGTACAAGGAAGTCAACTGATGGCCTGTCACTGCAACCAAACAATCAACGATGACTGATTTTACAAGTGATAATGTTGATCATTTCTGTAGTGAAAACTAATTGAAAAGATACTGATTGGATTTCGTAGTAGGTCTAATTAGAATCAGACCTGTGGAACGTGTTGGCATTCAGAAAAAATAGATTTTTAGGAAGATACTTCTTTGACAGTTTATTAGACTGTTAATCGGTAAAGATAAAAGACCTACTAAATTATCTAAATTCGTCGGTATGGATTTAGACTATACTCTTCTATATAAGGAGTTCGTGCGAGTAATGTGGTAGCAAAACGGCTAAAAATCTCCAATCGAGGTTTAAGGAAGTTATCTGATGGCCTGTCATTGCAACCAAACAATCTACGATGACTGATTTTACAAGTGATAATGTTGCTCATTTCTATAGTGAAAACTAATTAAAAAGATACTGATTGGATTTCGAAGTAGGTCTAATTGGAATCGGACCTGTGGAACACGTTGAAATAGAATGTAGCACTAATCTAAATATTTTTATATTTACCTAAATAAATTTCTCATAAGAAATCAATAATTCACTATTGATTCTCGTTTCCCAAAAAGGCTATCCGTTATATCCAAAGATTTTCTGAATGGCATGTTCCATTTATTTAAAATTACTTAGTGGTTCCCAGATTTGAATCAGGGTTCTATTTAAAATTTTTCACTCAGCTAAAGTGTTTAAATTTTTTTTGTTATTATAACGATCAGACTTATTAGTTCCTAATTAGGTTAGTTTAGGAAATCGAATACCGATACAACTATCAGTACTTCTACTTTAGTATGTTTTTGGCACATTGTGATGCCTTAAAGGTGACCTACATATAGATGCTTAATTAGCGCGAGTACCGATACAGCTATGAGCACTTCCACTTTAGGATATTTATGACCCATTGTGATGTCTTAAAGATTACCTACATATTGGTGTCTAAGTAAACCATGTTGAAAGTAGATGCCATCTTTTAATTACATTTAAATTTTTTTTATTAATTACACATTTTTTCATAATTATTAAAAATGTATTGTTAAACTTTAAAAGAATTAAAAATAATATATTTGGAACTGAGGTGTCGAGAAATAGTTGCCTACAGTCTTAAATATTTTTTCGTTTTTTTCTTTTAATAGTTAAAAATTAATAATATATGCATAAGTATGTATGTCTAAATGTATATCAAAGTAAACAATATTGCAGTTTAAGTCAACGTAATTTTGCAACTGCATATTGTTAATGTTAAGTAAATATTATCGGACTTAGAGCAAAAAAAAAAAATAATTGTTTAAACATTGTTATAAGCCACATAAAATGAGATAAGCGTTAATGAGAGATATGCTAATAAATACATTATCAACTATTCTTTAGGAGCTTGAAATCTGTTAGGTATACATATATTACTTCAATACACATATATCATATATTTAAAGGTCTTTGAAAACAAAAAAATATCTAACAATATAACTTTAAATATTTTTTTGTAATAAACTAAATGGTAATATTTCTTACATATACATATATATAATAACAAAACTGACAATCTATAAAGATGCTGAAAAATGAAACGTGAGCCCATGCAGGTTCATCAGCTTATATAGAACGGCAATTTATATCAATGTCATGTAAAATATATTTTAATCCGGTTTTGCAAATCTGTATAGGCAATACTATAAATAATTTTTTTTTTTAATAAATTGTTAATACTCTTACGATTGAGTTTGTTTTAATTACTATACGTCATCAGTTGAAACCGGTTACATTCTGAACAAAAAGAATCTGCTATATAAGTGCATTACTTTAAGCGCAATGTGAACAAGTGAAAATAGTAAGAATTGTGGAAATATTTCAATACTTTGATTTTGATACTCTACAGTTGGTATTCCTAAAATAAACTATAGTATTCAAACAATAATAGAAACTATCATAACAGATTGCTACCAGTTTTTACAAAAACATCTTCTTAGTTGAAATAGATACACATGCTTCTGAAAACAATTCGTGGAATCCGTGTTGCACCTTCTTTGTAATCTGCCTATATTTAGTCAATGCAAGGTTAAATGTCTTTCGGTCAACTTCTCTTACCAACCTACAAAATTAGGCACTCAACTAAATTTATAGACAGGAGGAGAGTAGGAGAGTAGTCAGGAGAGTAGTGAGAGTAGTGCCTTTTATCGTTGTCTATACGCTATTAACTGCATTTCTTTTGGGAATCCATTTACTCTGCCTATGAAACGGTAATCCGTGATACCGTGAAACGTGCCATTATTTAAATTCACGTGGGTTTTGTTGTGTAAGACCGCCACTTCAACTTAACCTAACCTTCAAATATACAACATTTCAGTAACTTTTCCAGACCAAGTGGATGTGTGCAGACATACACTGCTTGGTTGCCGTTTACTATAAAATCTATCACAAAATATTTTCAATACAGGCTTCTAGTCAATCATATGAAAAACAAGAGCCTACCGTCCTTAATCCCTTTGAATATAAATATTGATTCTAGTTAAGTTCAATTTAAATCTCACCCATTACCCAATCCTACGCTACTCCCTAACAATCCCTTCCCCTTTCACACACCCATCCACATCCAAACCCCTATATTCGTCACGTAATTCCTTTTATTCTAACTGCTTTTCAGATCCCCGCGGGTTATAACAATAACAACCGAACTTATTTTTCTAACTGTGTCTACTTCGAATTAGATAGCGTTCAGTTCGTGATTGTGGCATCTGCTAGATCGCCCTTCTGCGCAAATGGACTTAAAGATTCTCAAATTCTTTTTCAAGAATACAGTAGGGACTTTTGAGTGCTTTTTACTGTTAATAATATTCCTATATATATATAATTTTATATAAACTAATTAAAAAGAAATTCCCATATTTCCTAAGACCACTGCTGATGAGTACTTGGCAATATTCAAAACAGGGTTGTATTGTCAGCCAAATTTAAAAAAAAATAACTAAAAAATGTTTGTCTTTTCTTTGATATTCAAATCCGTCAAATCCTTATTCGCTCTTAATTTCTAATATTTGATTTACATTGCATACAACAACAATTTTCCATCCGACGAGACCATGACTGTCTGCATAACATGTCATTAATTAATATCAGTAATTAATTTAATATTAAGATTATTATTTTTTTTATTTAAATTTATTTCCTTGATATACATAAATATCAACAAGTAACTTTATAATAAGCGCACTTTGTATGTCTGGTTTTACTATAATAATTGCTGTTCAGAATTTTTCATTGAAATATAAATTATCCACAAGTAACTCTATAGTAAGGGCACTGTTAATATCTGGTTTTAAAATAATTGAAATAATTGGTATTCAGAATTTTTTTTGTTTTTTTTTTTTCATATATCAATATCGTAAAAACTTCAACGCTACTGCATCTAAAATGTAGCGGGTTAGTATTGTTTGCTTAAGTGAGATACTTACTTTTTTGTGTTATAGAATAACACCCGCGCGTATTAGTGAATATACAAATATGTACATTAATCATAATACCCACAGTTATTATTAAATTATTAAAAGTTTAAAACGTAAAATCGCCCAACAGCCGGTACTGCGGCCAGAAGACTCCTCTTGTACCAATTTCAATATTGATTACACAAAGCCCTTGAAGCTTTCTGAACAAAGTCCAGAGTTAATAAATGTTAAAATATTTAAAATAAATTATATACAGAAATCTGTTTAAATATTATATTTATTTTTTCTTTTTATTATTTTATATATCATTTTTTATCTAATTTCATAATATCTATATATATAAAACACAATCTCACTGTCAAATAAAATACTTGACCCATATACCTTAACGGCGTATCCTTTGCATTGACGTATTAGCTTCAGTTTCCATCTCATATTCAATTTCTGGTTTAGCTTTCCGAAGACGACGTTTACTCGTAGGTTTACTGTCTTTACTATCCGACTTACTTGTGTCTTTCTTTGATTTAATATATTTAGGCGCGAGTACAAAGGCACCGGGTATAACAGGCGTGTCCTGTATTAAAACGAATTTTTAATTAATATAATTTATATTTTTCTAATTTAAATTTTATATTTTTTAAAGAAATAAAATATAACGCAAAACACCGTATGTATATTAAATTTTAAAATAATTATAATTTGTTTAAAATTTTACTATTTAGCTATTCAAAAAAAAATAAATAACTTAGATTCATTGAGTAAATTATTGAATTATTTGAAACACATTGAACTTTTGTAACACAACTAAATAATACACTGCTCTGCTCTGCTATTATTATTATTTTTATTTTTATTTATTCATAAGTTTCAAGAAAACAGCAATAACAATAACAATTATTATTTTGTTAATAGAAGCGTGTTAATTAATTTTAAACTGAAATACTTAAATCAACAATTTTCAAAATTTTGCCCTTGCAATGAACACGTTTAGTTGCCGGATTTGATTTGACAAAACGATATTTGGTATATTTGGGATATGAAAAAATATATTTAAATTCATTATTTAATAATAATACAAAAATAATAATGTAATATTATTTATAATCTAAAAATTCTACAATAATGTTTGCCACTAATCAGCACTTAAAATCATATCGAAAGAATAAAGCTTACACAGCAGCAGAAGCTATAATTTGACACAATAATTTTTATTATTTATTTTTTACTGCTTCGATTTTATCTAGAAATATTTTATTAAATTACTTGCTTTATTTAATAATTTATTATATTTCACTTTTATTTATTTTATTTAATTTATATACGAATTTATGGCGCAAATATGAACAAACGAGAGACGACGACGGGCCGAAACGGTCGACTGCTGGTAGAGCAAAAGTTACTGCCGTAATGAAATGAGTCTAATCAAACGCGTACCAGACAACGTTCCGACCTACCGTGTTCGAAATGCTGAGATAAATAATTTTTTTTTTTTTTGTTTATGTCATTACAATTAAAACAAACATAATATTTATTTTTTGTAAAATAAAATTTAAGTGCCGGCTTGAAATAAATTAAAATGCAATCATAACAAAAACAGTGGCTAATAAATAAAAAAATAATTAATCAAGTGATTTAATTGAGATAGGTACGTGGTTCGAACACCGGGCCGCGGCTACTCTCCAAGTAGTGCCGTGATAGTTAAATAGAAGAGTTTGAGAAAAGAATTACGACAGTTAATAGAAGCATAACCCAATACAATTATACAATTTACTTAGATAAAAAAATACTAAAATTTCTAAAGTTATTAAATAGTTTTTATTATTCTTATAAAAACGGGCGGTGCTATACTTGAAGTTTGTTAAAACCTTCAGATGTTATAATTGTTGGTTTTTCTTACATGTGGATTTGGCGATCATAGGATCGATAATAATTTCATTGTTCCCATTTGTATCTGCCAAAGCTTAAGAAAACTGTTGTCAGCATAAAACTCGTTGTCTTCATACCAACCCCTGCGGAAAATGGATTAGAATATGCCCAAGGTAAGGCATGCCTGTCGTAAAAGGTTTCTAAGATCGAATGATCATCACTCGATACTGTTTGAAGTACAAATGATAGAAAGAGTTTCACTTATAACACCCCATCAGAACTTCGACTAATCTGATCAATTGAGAATAGCTCCTATTATATAATGGAAGTATTATGCGGACTGTGGTTAAAACCCAAAGTTACACGAGATAGATGACTGCGTTCATTACTTTCATATGATATGGAGTTCACAGGTTGGGTGTTCGTAAGAACAGCAGAGATGTTAGATGGACCTCGCTTTCTTGGAATCTAACTGAATCTAACTTTATATTGAATCCAACTTTATATCGACAATTTTCAAATCTGACATAATTATCTAAGTAGATTCTAAATCCGATTTGTTCTTTATAGAATTGAAAAAAAAAATAATAATATTCTTAGAGATCAAATTTCGCATTTTTTATTGAATCCAACTTTAAATTGGCGACAATTTTAATATCTGACTTAATTATCTAATTAAAATCTAAATCTGACTTGTTCTTTATAGAATTGAAAAATAAATAATTTTCTTAGAGATCAAATTTTTCTAAAATTTGAACTATGGAACTATTTACGAATTATCGGTGAATAGGAAAAATAATCGAGTGTATGTTTTCAAGGACAGTTAATTCCTAAAAGACCTAACCAACAAAAAAGAATAAATAGGTATAGAAGTAAATTGAATATTTTGGGGGAAACACATCTCTTTAGCTATTCGTACTCTGACCACTTCAATATATCGGGACACAAAATGAGAAATGAACACACAAGAACTTCATCGGATATGGTATTTTTTGATCCAAAGTAAACGGAGTCATATAAATATACATACACACATTATAAACAGTTCAAACTGATGTTACCAAAAATTAACGAGAACTTTATAGGTTTTCTTAAACATATATTATAAACTATAGATTACTCTAGAAAGTGTACTCACTGACAACATTATTAAGCACCTAATTTTTTGCGAATCACTGACTATAATATTTACTTTGTTGAGAAGAGGTTTATGCTATGGAAGCTATTTGCAACTATTTTGTATTCATAATAGTTAAAATAAGAACACTAAATTCTGATGTTATAAGCAGCAGACAGCACATCCCCTTTCTACTCTCAAACATCTTTCCACTTTCAACAATTTTTATATAAAATGAATTTTAAATACAAGAAGTCAACAAAAACTTAACAGGTTTTTATATATTATAGATTGTAGATTACTATAAGCTGTAGTCACAACTGACTTTACCTGCGCCAAGCATCTCATTTTTAGGTGTCACTGACAATTGCATTTACTTTACCGTGAGGAGGTTTATGCTATAAAAACAATTTGCAATATTCTGAATTCTTTGTACTCAACTTTAAGACCCTGAACTCTGACATTAAAAACAGAGAAGAATGGAAGACTGTTGTTAAACAGGTTAAGGTCCTACATGGACTACATGTATGATGATGAAATCTGATATTGTAAGAAGCAAATATTACATCGCCTAAATACTCACAAATCTCTCTCTACTCCTTGAAAAATAGTTTAAATCTATAATTGAACTATGAGATTGTAAGAAGCGAATATCACATCTCCTTAATAATCTCAAACATCTCCCTACTCCTTGAAAAATAGTTACAATTTTTTTTCAATGGTATGAGATGGACTCTCAAAACAATTGACCTATACGAGTATCATTTTTCAAAGTTGATTTCTAGGGTATTGGTATTATCTATGGTAGGGTATTATTAAATTATTCTTTGAAACTGTATCTCCTAGTTTTAATTATTAATATCACTACTAACGGAAAACTGTTTATATAACTTCAATTAAATATACAAGCAATCGATTTAAAAAAAGAAATTATATAGGGCTGTGTATAATTTGATCATCCGTTATTTTAATAAATGTTCTTCATTATATTCCATTAAAAAGCTTTTGTTATAGCTTCAAGTATCAAAAAATAATTGATAATAATTTAAATTACTTTTCGAGTAAAAAATTTATTAACTTGAACTTTAGAATTGTTCTGCTGCATCGTCGTTGACTTTGTTGCCGACTTACTACTTAAGAGCAAATATTATTTATACTCGTAGACATTTTTTTCATTTTTTAATAGTAAATACTAATCACACGCTTAAGATTTTATCATTTCTTTGTCAATTTTAAATTACAGCTATTTAATTACAAGTTTCATTCAATACATGAAAAACACGTAATTATTCGATAATAATGATCAATCTTGCTTATTATAAATGCAAAAAATATAATTATGCTTCTATATTGTTTTGCATATGAAGCGATAAATAAAAAATTGATCATAAATACTACTTAAGTGACTGAACAATTCAATAGCTTTTAACTATCTAGCGGACTAGATAATCACTGACTTACATTTACGACCCATTTTAAATTACGACAAGTCAACACAAAAACTACGTATTATCACAACTAACATGAATTTATAGATAAGGCTATATATATACATACATATATATGTCTAAATCTATATTTGTATATAATATACAGAAAAAAAAATAAAAGGTTGGATCATTATCTAACACAGATAATATCACTGACGAATAGTGTTATTATTTAGTAAAATCATCTACTACTAGTATTTATTAGTGGAGCTGTAAACGTTATCGAAAACTATAAATATCGATAAATATCATTAAAATTAAAACAAAATTTTACCAAGTCTATTCAAATAAGATTCAAAGATTATCTTACAAGATTATCTAAATATGTATTCATCAAACATTTAAATAAACTTTGTTGATTATTTAAACTTTAAGCTTTAAGTGTTATCGAAAACTATAAATATCGATAAATATTATTAAAATTAAAACAAAATTTTACCAAGTCTATTCAAATAGAGTTCAAAGATTATCTTACAAGATTATCTCTATATGTATTCATCAACCATTTAAATAACCTTTGTTGATTAATTAAACTCTGCTCCGCTGGAGAATGTAAAGCAATGGTACAACAATCGATAAATATCAATTCATCGATACTTAAATAGCAGATTTGATGAGAACTAACAGTGGCTTAGATGTCAATGGATATTTAATTTAAACTGGGTGTAATTTTAGTTTAATTTAACTAAATGTAAGAAGCTTATCCTCCATTCTCCTAAGAGAACACAAAAATCAAAGGAAACTTTCACAGATGGTAAACCATTTAGACATTATACATATTGCTCCTTTTAAAGAAATACAAAATAATCATTGCAATAAACCAAAAATATGTGCGCTTACAAAAAAACACTCCAAAACGACACTTTTTTAAGAACATTTACGGCTCCTAAAAGGCACATACATCTGAAGATTTCCGCTGGATAATTTTTAAATAGATTAAATCAGTGCAAGTGAAATATATTATTTAGAGATTTTAGAGCATTACTTGACCGGTTATTTCAAAATTGATTGCAAATGACTTAAAAATATTAAGAAATCAATTGATTTGGCATATTTTCTGATTCATTTGAGTCATCTGATTCAGTCCTCTGGTATTATAAAAAATACATTAATTTTGGGATCTAAAAAAAGCTTATATATGGAAAAATTGCTCCGAAATGTGTAGAATTTATCCTCATGAAAGAGTGTTTTGGGACGGTTTTGTTTGATAGGGAAGTCGCTTTTGTTAACACAAACATATCAAATGAAGTTCCTTTAGATCTTCCAATATCCACCACTACAAAGAGTAGATTCAAATTACACTGGATGTTTGAAGAGTGTTAGGCACAAACATGGAGAAGTTTCTTCACGTAAAAAGTATTTTTTTTTTGATTTTTAAACCATTATTTTTCATTTCTTATGCTTTCGGGTTTAGTCACAATAATCTACTCTGACTGCCTTAGTTTAATTCTACCATCCCATAAATAAATTGTTTTTATAACTTTATAATAAGTAATATAAACACACATTAGATAACAGATCTAAACTATTACACATAGTCCATAACTACTTTGCAACTTATAAGAAAGAATTGCATGTAGTATTTGTACACAATTAGCGTCTCTGCGTTAATTTTTAAATTTCATCCAACTGTTAAAATATATCATTCAGATAACAATATGCTTACCTCAATATCATCTCCATTCTCTTCATCTGATGATGCAAAATCACTCTCCAATTCTACTTCTTCTTTTTGACCAGAATCACTTAATGCATCCTCATCATCACTATATTCCTCATCATCATCTTCCAAATCGGATTCAGCTTCAACAAATTCTTCATCAAGTAATTCACGTCGTACATCTTCATCAAGTTCCATTTCTTTTTCAACTTCGGCTTCTTCTTCCTCACTTTGTTCAGCTTCTTCATCTTCAATCTCTTCCGCTTCAAGTGCCTTATTAAAGACTGTCTGCGGGAAGTTGTATATATCTTGATACGTGCCACGTTTCAAACGTTCCAACAATTCCTTCTCAATATGATTATCAATTTTGGCTGCTATAAGCGCCTTTTGTTCTCGTCTAGTTTCACGTCTTTCTATTTTCCTAGACAGCGGTACTATAAGTTTCTGTCGTCGCAATTTCAGTTTACGCATACGCATCAGATACTGTGTAATTTTCAAGAAGCGCTGTTTATTTTTTGCTATCATATATTTAGGCCAGAAAACTAAATTTTCATTTATTTGCTGTATTGCTTTCTCAAAGTTTCTTGACAGTTTGACGCGTTCCCAAGTTTTGTTCGGCATGTGTGAACGTTCGGCCGTCTTCATGAAAAGATAAATAATACCATTTTCTTCACGGACTGTGGCATATTGAGAGTTGGCGAGCGGGCAAGTGCGTCTTGTACATAAGCCGGTTATATTGTATTCATGTCGACAAAATGTTCGCGTATCAGTTCTGTTGTAAAAAATTTATGAAATGGTTAATATTATTCACTATTTTTATTGATATTTATGCTTACCGAACTTTATGTGAACAAAACGATTTGTTTATGATGCTCCACACAAGCTAAAAAGTAAATATTGATAAATTGATATAGTTGTTGTTGACAGTACGAATCCTTTTATACTTACATCGTCGTGCTGCATTTTGTACTATTAAAATAAATGTAAAAAAAACAAACTATAATTCAATGCCAGCAACAAAATAAAGGAACACGTGCCGCGGCAATATACTCAGTTGTGATTGCAAATGTCAAACTCAACAGTTGTTAAAATTTCGGTGTAGTGAAATTCTCTTTGCTGAATAACCCAGCAAGACTTAAGAGTGGTAAAATGCGTTTATATATCTTTGATATGAATCATGTGTATAATATAATTCATTAAATAGTTCAAATTTTGAATTAGAATTTTATTCTTACTTGAAAAGGAGAACAAAATAAGTTTATTAAAATAAGGGATATACTTATATATTATGAACAAAATTAAATAATATATAATTATTATTTAAATTTATTTAAATATTATTAAATTAATAATTATATAAAATATTTATTTAAATAAAAATTATTTTAAATTATATAAAAATCAAATTTATAAAATAAATGATTATTAAAAAATATTTTACCAATAAAAATTGAAAAATGAATTTATTTGTAAAATAAAAGACATTTTGGCCAATTTTTTCAATTACATATTAAAATATTATAAAAATATATAATGAAGTTATATTTTACCTTCATCCAACATTTTTTTGGCACAAGCCAAACATCAAATCAACAGGCACGTTGACAAATCAGCTGAGAACAAATGAAAAACAACTAATGTGAACAGTTTGAAATGACTGATTTGAAATGAGTCATCATATACTCTGAAAACTTCTTTTTAGCTTCGATGAAGTACTTTTTGGAAAGTAGAAGTTTCAAAAAGAGATACATCGTTTTCAAGGAAATGCAACCACCGAATATTTATTTATATTTCAAAAACAGCTATCTCAAATTGTCAAAATCCCAGGTTCAATGTTTTCATTTGCATTTGCAACACATTTAAAACTCGTCGAAACTGATATATATAAAATGAGATACATTGCGAGAGTGTGGATCTGATTTCCGCATATGAGATTTTGTATGCAGAAATCAGTCATTTGCTTCTCAATTGTAATTTTTGACCCAAATCACTCATTCGAAGCCAGTCTAAGACCGCCATATTAAGACCGGAAAGTATAAGAATTAGATATTAGCGACTTATAAAATAGGCTAAATTATTTCCAGTCTTTTTCTCCAAAACGTATTGAAATTTTAATAATTTGCTCCTGAAAGGACAGATAGCTTCGGTTTTGATGATGAAATTTTAACCGACATATTGCTTTTTCTCTCACTATTTATTTTATAATTTGCATTGAAAACAACAATTTTGGTTATGATGTGTTCATTTCTATATATAAAATGTATGTTTATAAAATGAGTTATGTTGCTTACTGACATTTTTTCTCTTAAATGTATAAAAATTCTAGTAATTTGCTCCTTAAAGACACAAATGTTGATATATATGACCAACAACATAACGATGCACAAAAAGCAATACTCCATATTCAACGTTAAATTTAATACCAGAGACCGTAACAGTTATCATAAAAAAAATAAAAATCACCTTATAACTATTATCATTGGCATTTTAAAATAAAACTCAAAAAATAATAATTAAATTTGCTTTATATTATATTCATCAAAAATAATTATTTTATATGCCTTTTATTTTATTAAATTAATTATTTATTTATTTATTAATTAATTAATTGTTAATTTATTAATTATTATCATTAGGCCTTTTCGGTGGCTCGCAAGTACGGCAAAAAATGCATGTTGGCCTATGTTGGCCACGCGAGGCATTGGCATCACTGTTGCAATCTGTCAAATGTTTTGTTTTGACAAACAGCAAATCTTGTATATGTGCATATAAATCAAATATATTTTTATAAAAATATTATAAAATTAAAATGAACACGGAATTAAAAGGAATGGTAAGAATATTGGAAATTTAAAAATAAAACACTAAGATAAGTAAATTTTTGTAGGTACTGTCGATGTTGGGAGAAGAAAGCAACGTTTTGCAGCGGCCGAGGGATGCAAGTTGTTTCACGGATTTTTTAAATGTTATGAATGCACTCTAGAAAACACTTCGTTTCCTTTGTGGTCCATAGTTTGCGTGTATTTCTATAAAAAAATTTTTTAGAAAAACTTCAAAAATTATGTTTGTTTATTAATTTTACGTATGTAAACTACAAATTAAATGAAATAAAATAAATGTTACTTGGTAATAACTAACATAATAAAAAATTCAATGTGCTTAATACTTACGATTTCTCCATTCTTATTATTTCTTCGTTACTTTTCAAGATTTTTCAAATTTTTGAATTCTGTTTGAATTTTTATTTCCTCAATTTTTGACATTTGATTGCACTATTCGTTGGAATTTTCAATGAAGGTTCACAATAGTTCGCTTATTGCGTTGGTAACATTTTTTTTTTTACTGGCCGATGTGGTTGGCCAGCATAACTATGCTGGCCGAGGTAGAGAAAATAGTGTTGTTGTTTTGCATACATTGCGGCCAGTATAGGCCAGCATAGGCCAGCAACTTGCTGTTTTTTGCCGTACTTGCGAGCCACCGAAAAGGCCTATTGGCATTTTAAAATAAAACTCAAAAAATAATAATTAAATTTGCTTTATATTATATTCATCAAAAATAATTATTTTATATACTTTTTATTTTATTAAATTAATTATTTATTTATTTATTAATTAATATTTAATTTTAATTAATTGTTTATTAAATTAATATTATAAAATTATATATAATTCATACTAACTGCACCAATCAGCTGCCGCGATGCGAGGTTGTATCTGGTGCCACCAAAAATACTTAAATGCTTTATCTAATATTCAGTAGTTAAACTGTGGTGAATTGCAAAGTATAAGTACATACAGACAGCATGAGGCCAAATGTACTGCATAAGGTGACATACACTTGATTGGTTGTCGCGGGGACCGCGCTAGTGATTTTTTTGCTGTGCAATATTTTTATAATAAATAATAAATTAAATTATATGTAAAAACATTCTAATTGTAAAATATGAATAATAATTATATTATTGAAATTGCGGCTAATACAATACCGAAATTGGCTTTTGTTTTTGTGGTGTTTTTAGTACTACATAAATTTTATGTAAAAGTGCGGTAAGTTAACTAATCTGACATGTGCGGAAGAATTTTAAACCGGTTGCCGCCTAATCTTTTTGTATAAAAAAATATATATGCAAACGAATAAATATATATGTTGAATAATTAGTGTAGCAAAATTTTGGCGCTATTATTAAATAAATTCTATTTATAGATCAAAAACTAAGACTACCGTGAATTGTTGGTTTTGCAATGAAAATACCAAAGTCCTATATGTCGAATCCAACAGTTGGACCTGTCCAAAATGTGAGCAATATAATGGATTTAACAAAAATGGGGATTGTAATCGCCTAATATATGAGAAATATGACTGCAGCAATCTAACTACTAATAAAATACAATTTGCTGATCCCTCATCAACACCACTTACCTCATCACCGCAAAATGGACTTTGTAAAGCATGTAATGAAGCCCAAAATTGGATAGTAGAAAAACGTGCAGAATTTGAACCAACGAAAGAAAATCGTTTCGATCAGGAATTTAAGGTCTACAAGTAAGTTAACGTACTATTAGAGACATTTATGTAGTGGTAAAAAAAAAATTAAAGAGATTAAAAGGTTTAGACGACAGATGTTACATCAATTTTTACCTGCTCAATAATGCCTTAAACTATGACCTTATTATCTATACTTTAATCAGTTTAGAATAAAAGAAAGGGATTATTTTTGCAGAACTAAAAAATTCAATTAGTTATATTTAATCATTTATATACATATTTTGTTCTGTTGATGAAATCATATTCGACCTTAACTTAGGAATGAAATTCACAAGGTCTTAAACATAAAATAATTATGTTTATTACAATAATTAATATAATTAAAATTATAATTAAAAGTAACTACAATTTGCATAAATAAACCTTTTTTAGGTATTTCATTTTATTTTTATTTATTCAAATATTGTTAAATGACAACATATATATTTAATTCTTATTATTGTTTATCTATAGATTATATCAATATTAATAAATATTCTAGTATTCATTAAGCAAATGTTATGTCTGCAGATTCCAACGTATTTTCGATACAAAATATTTTCCAAAATTTTTAAAATTCTGTAAATAAAGTATATATTAAGTTTGACTAATTGATCATAATAGAGAAGAGAAAATAGCATCATGCGTTGCAAGAAGATTAAGGACAGAAAAACATTAAACCCTATCAAACTTAAATTTTCTTAATCAGCCTACAAAATAAATCCATTGAACATTGCTGGTCTGTTTGTCAGAGAACCTCTAAGTATTTGAGCTATTTTGAGTTACTTGGTCCAGAAGTGGAGATAACGTTAGATGTTATAATATGACTGTATTCCTAATTCATCGGCAAAATAAACCGATCTAACAAAAACAGACTACAAGACTTTCCAATAAATATTGAAAAAGTTCAAGATCGCTAAAAAATTAAATTAGTTGACTATATGTGAAAACCATGAGAAATAGAATTAACAATCAAATTGGATATTCAGATGGAAAAATTTAATAGGTGTACAGATAAATAATTGGTTTCTAACATAGGTATTTTTGTAAAGCGAATTGATTGAAATTGAGTTTTCCATTTTATATATTTATATTGAGAAACTTATTTGGCATTCCAATATGATCAAAAAAAATTTTTACACCCCAACAGTTCATCTTCTTACATATATATATGATATAATTAATTGATCGTAACAATCGAACAAAATACTTGTAAAATTCTATATTGAAAGAATTAATCAATTCCGAAATCTTGAATTATCATTAAAGTCATAGTTGCACACTATGACTATAAGTAGTTTATGATACTTATCAAAAATCAACAATGTAATCTACATGATTATATGAATAAACATAGTACATATACAATTTAAGTTTTTGTATAAATAAACAATTTTATGCACATTTATTTACAAATTGTAATATTCTGATTAGTAGTGGAGAGAGTAAGATTGATGACTACTGTACTATCAGATAAGGAGAACATGTAAAAACCTTTGGTTTTCATGGTTTGGATTTCTTCATTAATATATTTCTAATAATTCTTATAGAATCCTTTCTATACCAGATCGTAATTTATTGAAAACTTCAAAATAGATTTAGTTTCTGTTTCCAGGATAATTTCTTCATTTCAATCATAAGTATTTTCGCGTAACATCCGATTAAGGTTTTTGAACAGATCATCGTTATCATAATCAACATCATTATCATCATCAACATAGATATACAGTCCATTTGAAACGTAAGCTTGTTTCACAACACCATCATCATCATCATCATCATAGATATACAGTCCATTTAAAACCTTAACTTGTTTCACAACATACTTTCATTCTTTCCAGTTCTTTGCTTTCATCTCTCTGAGATCTTACGGCATACTGCCGATTTTTTCGGTTCTAAATTCACCTTTCAATGATTTGCGAGCAGATAAAAGCCTCAAAAAGTCAGATCTGAAAAATAAACCGAACAGGAAAGAAGTTTTTATAGTATTATCGTTTTGTTGTAATAATATCTGATAGGTGGAGTAAGCGGTACTTTTTGATCTGTATAAAAAAATCTACAAATAACGTAGATCTGAAAGTTTCTGGAACTTTAATATAATATTTTTAATATAATTTTTTCATTTGAGTCCCTTTTTTTGCAACTTTAACCCAAAATACAACTCTCTCTTCTATTATTGGTTACAGTTACTGTTAGTGGACTTCTTTCATTTTTGATATCATATATATGTCATAAGATATAATGACTTATATGTCATAAGATATCATAACATATATGTCATATGTTATAGATATCATATGTCATAACTTTCCATTCTCTATTTGATATTGTTGTAGCTCTCGAGGATCTGTTTGTGTTGTCACTTCTTTTGATTGGTTTTAGTTGCATTTATCTTTATAAAATAATATATATTATATTGGTAAAAATACTAATTAAAATATTTTCTATATTTATGTTTGTATTTTTCAGTGCTCAGCTAGAAAAGCAGTATGGTTTATGCCGTACTTGTAAACTTCATGTACGTAACGTACTGAACGAGGGGAAAAATTTAGCTTTGGGTGCAAAATTTTTAGACTATGTCACCAAACGTGCGGGCTTATTGAAAGAAGGACAATTCACGGAACTTGAAGAGGCTGTTAAACAACGAAAGAAACATAAATTCAAGATTTTAATTGCCACAATGGCACTTTTGAATATATTTTGTCTTCTAGGCAATATGACGACAATAAAACGTGATATACTTACAGAAACATTTGGAGAGCTATTAGGAAGTAGTATCTTCAAAGTATTAACGCATTCGATTGCATTCATTCGTGTACTGTACACATATATGGACACCTTTAGTAAATATGATATTATAGCCAGAATTGGATCTTTCGTGCGCACACTTTTTATGATGTTACTTTACTCAATGGGTTTGAGTATGCCAGATATAGTTCGCCTAGATTTCAATTCTATATATATGGTTATAAGCCCATTTACAATCTTATGCACTGCCCTCTACTATAATTTATTGGATAGTTTGAAATTGACACGTTTTACATTTTTAGTCGCACTCTGGGCTGCATTTGCTATTGGTTTAGTGAGTGATGTGCATATCTCACAAAATATGTTATTCGTAAGTTTTAATTGAAGTTATCAAAACTATAAATAAAATTAATATTTTTTTTTATTTTTAAGTTTTCGGCGTCTGTCTTAACAGTTATTCTTACGTTAACGAAGACGAGCGACTGGTCTAGTGCACAACACGACAGTTCAACAAATAGTTTTCACAAAATTTACTCTGAATATTTAAGTGACGAGGAAACAAAGAGTTTTATAAGCGATTATTACAATAGCAGCATAACATCAGCTCATAGCAATCGATCATATCCTACAACAACCAATTATTCAACTGTAACACCATCCGCTCCATCAATAAACAGTTTTCCACGATCTCAACTTTCTCCTACTTTGAGTTATCGTACCTGCTTTACAAACAAGAAACCAACTTCATGCTCACCTAATTCTTCATTAAACCACAACAATAGCACGCCACATAATTCTACCTTTAGAGGAGAAGGTCTAAAATCAAGTAAAAATATTTTGCGAGAATCTGTACTAAATCTGAATCGTAAAAATAATGAGAATTCTTTATACAAAAACTCTTCGTTTACTACTAATCCCTATGGTGATACTTTTATTATCAAAAACAACGAAAGTAACTATTTAAATTCAACACTGCAACATATAGACGCAGACAATTGTAACAGAGTAGCTCATTCGCCGTTTTCGGCTTCTAACACTGCCTTACATCAATATAATTCTTATGCCGAGCCTCTGTTAAAGAAGAACAACCATAGTTTTTTAAATTCAACTTTACAAAGTATGGACTCTGATGTATTTTCAACAAGAGCCGAATCGCCATTTTCCGTTCCTAACAATACTCTACATCAACAAACACAAGCACACGTTGTTATGCCATCACCTTCAAATGCAAACACATCCTGGTCTTCAGGTGGGTTATTTAATCGATATAAACGTACAGAACAAAGAGCTACAAGTTTATTTCATGAACCACATAATACCATTGATAATAATGATGCAAAGTTTTCACGTTCATCTTCCTTATCATCAGGTTTTGAATCACAAATTGATCGTGATAATTCTGCATGTCCTGACAGTGTTCAAGCACCACATGCAACTTCGCGTTTAGATTATTATAATTCCTTCGAACCAATCAATGGAAATTATCACATTAATACAACTGCCAAAAGGAATTATGAGCAACCGTTATCAATAAATTGCTCTTCGCGGGCACAATCCGTTTGCTCTGAATTATGGAATCTGCCAAGCAATGGTAGAAGCATAAATAGTCAAAATTCTTTCAACTTACGTAAAATTAACGATGTACTGCCAACATATAGACGAGGAGATTTACTTAAGAAATGGAAGGAGAGTCAAATGACTTCTTAACAAATCTTCGTTCAAATCTAAAAGTTAACTATTTTGTTAATTATCGTTAAGCAAGAAATTGTTTTAAATTAATTTTTGTTCTCTATAGTATATATATATATATGTATGAATTAAATATTTATTGATTGAATTATATATAAGACTTAACTACTAGAATAGTTTAGAATTAATTTATTTGAAATTAAAAATGTTTTGAATTGACATAATTTTTTATCATAGGTTTAAGACAAATTATACATATTAAAAGACAAAAACAACCAACTTTAATATACTGCCATTTTTTTTTTTTGTGTGTGTTTCTATATATTAAAATTATAATTATTATATATAAAATACAATTAAATATATAAATAAAGAAGTTTTAAGGGCACGTGAAATTAAATTAATTTTGTTTTTATTTGTATTTATACAGTTAATTCTAATATTTTCTCTTATATACTCTCTCCCCCTTAACTCTAATTACATCCATCAATTCCCCTACCCATGTATTCGTCTTGTAATCCTTACATGTTATCTGCTTTTCAGATTCAGGAACATGAATTAATGATGATTATTTGTGGCTAATACCTTTTCAGTCTCCACTATTAAAATTTCGCAGACTCTATTGGCTCTATAAAAATCTGTTCACTGGACTTTTATGCCAATGACATAACTAAGATGATAGATAAAAACAAGAAATTAATAATGGTCCCGCCCACCATTGAACCTTGACAGACATGACTATTATAGTAATATTCTTTCCTATAAATATATATACATGTATGTTCACTGAACTATTATGCTAATGTGATCGGGGTGTAAGGTAAATAATTGGTTGTCTACCGCTCACAACTTTACCGCTTAAACTAAACTATCAAGCAACAGCTACCAGCATTGGCCAACAGATAATAAGTTGTGCTCCATAATGACACTGCTAGGTAACACGCATCTTTGATGATCCAGTACAAATTCACGAAAATTCAGTGTGAAGTTTTAATGTATCCATCGTTTAATTCAAAGCTTGCACCATCTAAATACTGTTTGTTTTAATCTATGCAAAACTCTCTAAATGGTAATAAGTTAGACGACCAAAGAGTTATTAAAAATCAAATCATTGACCAAGTTTTATACCGATAAACCACAGAAATTATGCACTAATAGAATTTTAAAGCTAACCGAAAAATAGCAAAATATTGGAAATAATAATGGCCAATAACGTTAGTTGAAGTGGAGAGGGGAACGAATCCTCCTCAATTAGCTAAGAAAACTATTTTGAATCCACAATTCCTCGTAATAGTGGGAAGAAGAAGGCAGTTATAGAGGCTAGATTCTGCTAAATGCTAATATTGGAGATTATCGCTGAGTGTGAGTGTGGCCCCCAAAAACCTAAACATAGTCCTAACCAGTACTGAAAGTAAACACAACAGCTGTTTTGGTGTTTTTTCTGAGAGAGTTGCTAGGCATAGGCTGCAGCAGACAGTAAAGGGTAGGCCGAGTCAATATGGTCAATAAAAGCTTTATTAAAATTCATTTATTATTTAACTAATAATTTCATTAATAATTTTGTTTAAAAGTATACCAAAAAATTACAGATACTTTTTATATCAACTAATATATGGGTAGAAAATGTAACAATCAATTATTGAACAAAAAAAAAATTTTTATATTTTAATAACAACTCTAAACAAATTCACCTTTTTTGTTATTAACAAAATAAGCCATGTGCGAGTTCGAGTAAATTGATGGTAAATATTATATTATATCGGTATGGCAGCGAATGTTAGTATTTACCAGAATTTTTAGTAGGGTAAATTACATAAAAATTAGGTAAATTAGGTATTATTATTGTGAAAATTTTATAAGATGTTTAATAAATGAATAAATAAATTTGAAAACTTTTAACCAAAAATAATAAATAAGTGCAATAAATAAATAAATAAATATTTACAAAATTGCAATACAAAAAATCCTTGGGAAATTTCAATTCACTTTACCTCAATTTGCCTGAATTCGCACACGACCATAATAATATTTTGAATAAAACAGTCGACAATTCAGCAATATTATAAATATTATTGTATTGTTGGTAAATGCAACCCTGTGTTTGTTACTTCACTTCTTCATTATTTTTTGTTTTTGTTTTTATATTTACATTCACATTCCACTGCAACAGCGCAGTAATTTTTTTAATTGCCTAATAATATAAAATTATTTTGTTATTTATAGTCGCCTAGATGAGTCGTCAAACGATAGTTTTCTTGAAATCGGAAACGGAGAGCTCCGATATGTATAATGACGTTCTACGAGAACATGGGAAGAACGTTATATTCGTTACTACACTAGTATTTTGTTTTAAAAATCTTGATGATTTACGAGCGAAATTATTGCAGCCGGACAAATATTCCGGTATAATTTTCAACTCGCCACGTAGCGTAGAGGCAGTGGAAAATGCGTTGAATGATATGGAACTTAATCCTGGTTGGAAATTGTTACACAATTATGCTGTCGGGGAATTGACACATAATTTAGCAATGCAGAATTTACAACAACTTTTCACTCACGGCAAACAAAGTGGAAATGCAGCCAGCCTATCACAGTTCATAATTAATAATTTTGATGGCAACAAGGAACGACCATTGCTTATACCTTGTGGAAATTTGCAAACAGATGCCCTGCGCACAAATTTAACTGAGAATGGTTTTGATGTGGAAACTTGTGAAGTGTATGAAACAAAATGTAATCCAGATTTGGCTGAAAATTTGGAAACTGCACTCAAAGACGATACCGTTGATACACTGACCTTCTTCTCACCGTCAGGCTTCAATTGCACCTATGACGTATTCAAAGCAAAAAATCTGTCTTTCGATAAATATAAATTGGTTGCAATTGGACCCAGCACACGTCGTGCAATAGAATCTAAAGGCTGTATTGTGCATCGCACTGCAGAACGTCCAAATGTTGAATACATTGTGAAAGCGTTATTAGAAACAGAAGGAAATACCAAATAAGACTGATGCTGGTTTTAAGTTGAAGCAACATTGTCTAACAATGTATTTAAAAAATATGAAAAATCATAAAAAAAATTTTTCTAAAAGCTTCAAAGGCTATATATTGTTTTGTTATTTAATTATTTTAAAATCAATAAAATGATTTTTTACTTAAGATTTTGTTATATATTTACCGGAAGATATATTGAGAAAAATGTATGCTATTTCTGCACATTTTCTTGACCCACTATACGTACAGTTATCGTTAAAGTTTAAGGTGTTTTATCTTGTCTAAATGCTAATTCAATATTGGCTATTAGCCAATTAAGAGTAATCAACCAAAGCAATTACAGTTTGTCAATATGAGATACAATTAATTAATTCTATGGTTTTATATTCCTATTATTTTTAAAACAAATTATATGTTTTTTAAGAGTAAAGAGAAAATCTTGATTTATAATTGGAACAAAGTGTGGAAGACAACATTTTCTTATTTTTTGATTTCTACTTGCTCACTCCTTTGCTTGGGTTTTTAATAGTTGCATAAATATGAGTTACTTATCCGCAATATTTGCATATATTGGTTAATAATTAATTTCATAATAACAATATTTTGATACTTTCAGTTTTTATGTGCCACATTGATACAATGTTATTCTTCTTGAAGGATGAAATGAACATATATAGCAAGAAGATGAAACAATAGAACTTAATATTCATAAACCATAAACTGTCTCTGTAGAAGACAAAATTTTTTTTCATCTAATCTCTACATTTTCACTCCTATTTTTTGAATTTTCATAGATGCATAAATAGAAATTTATAAATTTTCTGGCAGATGGGAATAAATAAATCCGTAATAAAAATATTTTAATTCTCTTACAATTCTCTCTGCTACAATAATACAATGTTATTCCTCTTGAACAATCAAACGATCATCTATAACAAGATTTTATGTGTATTTCATGACCACAAACCTTAATTAACTTGTTCTTCATCGTTGGAACCATTTATAATAACTAACAAAAAAATTTGAATAAACATTAAATAATAATATTAAGAAATAAAAAGATGAACTTAAATTTCAATGCTTAATAATGGGCTCCTTATATTATCGTTAAATGGCCACAAAATTTTTAGTTCTAATATTTTATAATATTAGATAATTCTATTATATCTAATGTCCCTCAACATTTTCAACAGCCTTCTGCCGTTCTTCGATTAGAATTATTATTATTATTATTGTAGAATAATAGTTCTACAATCTCGAGTTTATTTTCAAAGAACTAACAAAGATTTTCCAGTTTTTCTTTGAGGTCAGTATTAGACCAATAAAAAAGTATTATAGCAACGGGAATATATGATAATCTAATAATGCTTTAAGAAGACAACACGCTTGATCACCTCCTTCACAATAATGTCTTTGCAGTAATAAGCAAATAAAAGCTAGAAGCACCTTTCATATCTAAATTTCTCTAATGGATGTAACTGATCATCTAAGAGTTTATTAGTTGTAGTACCACAGGATTAACGTTTGTACATGCGCAAACTCGAGGTCAGTATACGAGGAACGCAGAAGGGACGACTTCTCCATTAGGTAAAATTGAACCAACCTAACAATTCTATTAACTTGCATAGTTCCCTAATATTACAGGACGACACCAGGTTTTGATCGGTAAGGGGCCCCAAAGTTTTTAGATCTTCCCCTAGAACACTGACACATAAGGTGAGTACAGTTCGCTCCTCATCCACAGAGTGATCCTTTCTATCACATAGTGATCCGCCAACACCGACAGTTTATTGTAATATAATACTGACTCTACCACCATCATGTTTTCGGGCCATATTTTATTCGAAATTTTGTTTCATAAGAATTTTCATATCAATGTCAATCAATTATCCAAAAAAAGATAATTTGTTTAATTGAAAAACAATTTTCAGATGAGGTTTAGATTTAAATACATAAAATTTTTAATGAAAGCGAACAGAAAAATAACGCCGAATACTTTTCGCCCAATCTAATACTTATAATATTACGTGCACTTTCTATTAAAAATAACAAATAGATATCTAATTAAATTCTGTTAAACATTGTAAGAAGACTGTTGACTTACAGGATGGCATAGTTAAAACCTATATTTAAAACCTATATATGCCTATAAAGGTATCGCTTTAACAAAGCTTGCACTGTAACAGGATATTAATTTATAAAATGTTGGAAAAGTACAAATAAGTCATTTTACATTATAAAATCTTAGACTAATTTAAAAATATGTTGCTAATATTTGATATTAGCATATATTACATATTAGCAAACATATTATATTATTATGTTATTAATTTATATTATTATTATGTTATTAATTTAATTATATTATTATATTTTAATTATTTTATTATTATTATTATTATTATATTATTATTATTATATTATTATTATTATTTTCTTATTATTATTATTATTATTATATTATTATTATTATATTATTATTATTATATTCTTATTATTATTATATTCTTATTATTATTATATTATTATTATTATATTATTATAATTATATTATTATTATATTATTATTATTATTGTTATATTATTATTATTATTATATTATTATTATTATCATATTATAACTTTTAATTATTATTATTGGTTAGCTGGCTATTTAAAGTCGTAAACATATTATGGAAAGAATCAAAATTAAATTTCTATTAAAACAATTTATATTATTATCATACGCACTTGTAAATAAATGACTTGTTTCTGTTTTGTAACTATTAAATTAATTTTTATTTATTTAATCTTTAATTTTATAAAAATATACTATGTATACATAAGAAAGTTTCGAATATTTTGCGTTACAAAAAAGAAAAATAATACAATAAAATTAATAATTCAAACCTGCGCTAGTATGCGTTGTTTCATCTTTATACTTTTTTTTCCAATAATACATGTTCTTTATAAATATATATATATTTTTCTTGTTAAATTTAAAATGCTTCAAATTACTATTTTTATTTTATATAATAATAAAATTATATTAATGTAAATGGATTTGTTTTTGTTTTTTTTTATTTTGTGTGTGTTATAGTTATATTTCAATTTTTAACCGTTCTCATTTTATGTAATTTAATTTAAATTTAAAATTGTAAAAACATCAACTATGCCTTAAAATTATATTTAAACTTTCAAAAAAAAAAAAATATAATAGAAATTATATATATTTATATATAAGTTGATTACATAATTAATCATATAATAATAATAATAATAATAGTTAAGACGGAACAATCTTAAATAAAATTTCTCCAGTATTTTTAAAAGGAAAAATGGAAGTAATTTATTAAATATAATTAACTTTTATTTTCGATTAAACAATTTTAAAAATATAAGAAAAATAATATATTAATTTTCAAACTTAAAAATGCAAATGAATGTCGTTATTATTGTTGTTTGTATTAAGCGTTTAGAAATACATATATATGTTAATAAATATATATGTATGTATATATATTTATGTTTTTATATGTTATATACACATATATATAAATATATATATATAAAAATATGTTGTTTTTGTTTTTATTTTGCGACATAAAAGACACTTTCCTGCTGATAATTGCTTAAATTGTTAAGTTTATTAATATTGGTCGATATTTGTTGTTGTATTCTTCGTGGTAGTGTTGTTGTTGTTGTTTTTATTTTTATTGTTATAAATGTTATTTTTAAATCAATGGAATCAGAAGAGTAATTTACATGTTTTCGAATTGATCCACACGACGTTTTGTGTTACCTTTTCTGATTTCACGTAATGTCTTATATTTGTCACGTCCTTGACGTACGTTTTCACGATGAATTTTATCGTTTTGTGTTTCTTTTGTTTCATCACGAGATTGTGCCAAGTCTTGTTTTAAGGCCTATTATTGAAATAATTAATTAATTAGATATTTATCATAAAACAATAATATTTATAAATGGTACTCACCTTCAACTGATCATGTAAACGTTCACTACGTTCAGCCAATGTACGTCTATCCTCAATTGGATCTTTAATATGCTCATCTATATCCAAATCCCGTGAAACATCACCGCTAGCGTCACCATTTGTGAGTTCTTCTTCATTTTCATTTTCATTCTCATCTTCTGCGACATGATGATGTTGTGGTGTTGTTGAAGCAGCCAATAGAGCAGCTGCAGCTTCAGCCTAAAAAAGTAACGTGTTTTGTAGTTAAGTTATTGTAGCACATTATTAAGCTTATATATATGAACTTTAATTAATATCTATTAATTAAATATTTATGTTTCCACTATATAATTATAAATAACTACTAAACTAAATTAGAAAATCTCTCCAATCTCTCAATCACTCTCTAATTTAGTTAACTAATTGATATCTATTAAATAATTTTTTTAATATAGATATCTATGAATGTAAGTTGGGGTTTCGCTCAAATAATTTTTAAATTTTTATTTAATTAATAACATTCAATATTTAAGTAAATATTTTAAATTATATAAATTTATTAAAATATAAATTGTAGTATCTCTTAGCTGAAACATTTTGCTAATTAAAATTCTATTACTAGAGCAAAATAAAATTGTTATATAAATATTTTAGATATTTAAATATTAAATACTTTTTTTTTATCCTATATACAATATATAGCTTATATATACAAAACTAATATATATTTCGCAGGAATGTAGAAGCTCGTTAATAAAATATTAATTATTATATAAATTATTTTTTTTCTATTTATGTGGCTAATATATATTAAACTAATATATACTTATCAGAAATATATAAGTTCATTAAATTAGGAATAATTATATTAATTTATATTATTTAAAAATAATTAATTTTAAATTAAAATATTATATAAATTTTAATGATTAATTAATATAAATGTTTGAATGATAAATTTTTTAATTTAGAACAAATATAATTAATATATTTGTATAATTAATCTTAGGTATCATTTCTAATAATAATAATTAATACTTTTTTTTCTAATAATAAATAAAGATTTCATTTCTAATAATAATAAATAATAACCTCATTTCTAATAATAATAATTAATCGTTTCATTTTTAATCATAATAATTAATAACTTTATTTCTAATAATAATAATTAATAACTTTATTTCTAATAATAATAATTGATCATTTATATTCGAATAATAATACTATACATAATAAACTCACTTGTTTACGTCTGGCTTCTTCGACTTCATCTTGTAAACGTTTAGTTTCTTCATCCTTAGCATTAACTTCATCTTGAATGCGTTGAACTTCCATTTGCTTGGCATGAATTTCTTCCTCCAATTTCGCCTTCTCAACGGCTTCCATATTCTTGGCTTCTTCAAGACGTTGCAACATGGATTGTAATTCTTTTTGACGTAACTCCAATTCATCCTTGGCGGCTTGCAATTGTCTAAGTTGTTCTTCTAGACGGCGTATCATTTCTTGTGCCTCCAAGAGATCCTTTTGAGAACGTTCCATTTCTTCAGCCATTTGCTTAAGGCGATCTTCGTACTCTTGCTGCTTCTTCTCAGCACGTTCACGTGCTGCCAAAGCAAGTTGCAACTTTTCACTGCGTACCAAAAAGAAAACTCAAAATTATTTTCACATTTTCTACTTATTTTTCTTTACAACTTACCGTTCTTGTTGTTTGGCATTTTTTTCCTCTCGAGCCTGTGCTTTCATTTGCTGCACGTCAATTGTATCCGGTTTGCGACGGCGCATGTATAATTCATGATTACCCATACACAAAGCCAAAATACGTTTGTTAATTCTGACGCGACTAGCGAAGAATATAAAATCTGGTGCTTTTTTATCAATCGGTTTAATTATAAACTTCTTATCAGAAAATGATATGTTACGAATTTCTGACCATGGAAAACCAATTTTAGGTGTGAGCTTATCATCTTGCTCGTAAATGTTTAAGCCTAACGCATCAACACCCAACCACAATTCCGTACCTTTCTTGTTACGAATTTCAAAATAATTGACACCGTACATTTCTAAATCTTGTGCTATCTTTAGATACTCCATCATGGCATCTTCACGTAACATGCCACGGTGTTCCTGCCACCAGGTCATAATTGACTGTTCCCATTCATCCTTGGACATCTTGTGCTGATCAATTACACGTTGTGGCAACAAACGATCGTTCGTCAAGAAGCCGGCGGTATGCGTGCCCTTGTTGTGATCACCATGGCGTGCCTGTACAGCGTACGAAGCTAACAGCACAGATGTTTCTGGTGGGCAATAGATTTCATCGGATAATATGGCATTTTTTACTTGTAAATAGAACAAGCGAAGTGTAATATCCTGTATGATCTCTTCGGCTACATCTTCAGGATAGAATTTAGCGCGGAATCTGAATTGAAGAGGATTCTCTTTTTTAACATCTTGGTTTACTACCTATAGTGAAAAAATTATCATATTTATTTATTAGTACAGTGATAAATTTTCTTTATATATTTATTATATTAATATATAAAAATTGTATTTCATTTAAAAAAAAGTTACCCAAGTAGAAAATGGCATCGAACCAGTCTGCGTTTTGTATGGTTTGCATTTTGGAATAGATACGAATATTGAGTTAATTTGTATTAAAATTTTGAGATTTTCTTGAATTCTTGTTAACAAACTACAAAGGAGAAATTCAATAAAAATAATAATTCAAAATTGCTATAATAAAATTAGAACAAAACTAAAAAAAAAAATAAATGATGACTACATTTCAATTCCTAGTTTAAATCTATCTACATTTATTGGATTTAGGGGTCACGTCAACACATTTGAATGAAACGGATGCGTGGCTCACCATATCATCTGCATCATCGTCTTCGTTGCTATCGTCGTTGTGATGTTGTCCATCCGCTGTTTTTTTGTCGACATATTTTTTAACACGTTTCAGATATTTTATGGTCTTTATTGCCGGTGATTCAGGCTGATGTTTCGTTCGAGTATTTTTAGTTGTGCAAAAATATATATAAAGCATTCAGGTTTTATAGTTAAATTTATGCATGTACAAGTAGATGAAATTATGTATAAGTGAATACTTGTGTGACTGATGTGCCAAATTGTAAAAATTGTGTTGGCGAACATATAACCTGCTTTCATTTCAATTTTGGTTAAGTATTTCTTAGTCGGCACGAATGATTGGACAGAAAGAGCAAGAAATGTGCAAAGGATACAGGAGTTTATGGGGTAACCCTCATTTTATATAGGTTAAGAGTAAAGAAAATGATTAAAACTAGTTTTATGGCATTAGATAAAATTTGTATGAATTATTTATTAACTGTTAAAACTATTTCGAATAAATGGTATAAAATAAGCTTTGCATATAAAGTTATCTGTAGCAATGTGTGAAGACGACGCTCATGTGCTATTTGAACAGAAGAAAACGCTTTACCGTTACAAACCAAAAAACGATCTGTATGTGAAAGAGAAGAAAACAAACTACAACTCATTCGGCGTAAAACTTTTTTAAGTTTCTTGGAAAAAGAGCAAAAGTAGAATACAACAACTGGACTTATTAGGTATCTTTATTTTCTTTATTGAGACAAAGATGCAAAATTTCATAAAAATAATATTGCGTAAAATACAGTGTTAGGGGGGCTTTCTCAACAAGTAGTTATTATTATTAATATTATTGTTGTTGTAACCTGCTTGAAGAGTCCCTTTGGAACGTGTCGACAACGCCACTTGGTCGTCGTTGGCGATGACCCGACAGTTCTTGAAACCTTTTTAATGGGTAATAGGTCATTCTATGGATAAGATCTTTATGGATCCAAACTGATGTAATCGGAAGCACTAGACAAAACATAGCCTAGAGACATGTGTGTTTATTTTACCTTAAATGTAACTATCGTAATCATAGAATAAAAATCATAACTTATAGACAGGCAGCTATAAATAAAAACTCTCAATTCTTATAAGATAACATTAATAAACTTGATGGAGTAGTTTTGAATGACTAATATTCTTAACTACAATATGCAGATATAAATCTAATGAGTTCTAGACCTTGCTGGATCTTTCAGCTATAAAAATTGTAAATAATTTGCTAAAAAAATGATAAGCCCTACTGCTTTTAAGCCCGGAACAAGTCTGTGAATGGGGAAAACGGAATTTCTTTTCATACATTAGGAAGGAAGAAAAAAAATGGAGATAACTATACTTAAGTTGCCCAACTCATGCACGGCGGCGAATTAACACTTAGCGAATCCCCTTTCTTGAGGACCTGGACCAGTTACAGGAACTGACACTAAATAGCGTTTTATACTTCGCCAAAGGTTCTAGGTGGTTTTAAACCAACCCTGAGTTTTTCCCATATATACGGTAACACAATGGGCCATTAGGCCTAAGTGGATCCACTAGGGATCGCCGGTATAACCTAACCTATACTTAAGTTATTTTTACAATATCCAGATATGAATCTAATGGCTTCCGAACCATGCGGGAATTTCCAGCAATAAAAGTTACAAATAATTTGACAGAAAAGTGATAGCCCAACTGCTTTCAGTTGGGCTATTCAAACATTTAGAAGCAAGAAGAAAAATAAAGAAAGGTATACTGCTTCAAACATTTAGAAGCAAGAAGAAAAATAAAGAAAGGTATACTAGGATAATTTCGATCACAATAAAAATAGTTTATAGAGGAATGATTTAAGTATTGTATGCAACGAAATAAAAACAAATTAGAAAACATAGCAGAACATTTGTTAGGGCACTGTAGGTTTAACAATCAATCACCATACAAAACTGGAAGCATACTGCATAGAAATTGCAGGTTTTCTTAGAAAGAGAATAAGACCGCAAAGCACATGTTGCTGGATTGCCTGACACTGTTACTTCAACAAGAGAAGTACCGTAGTTACCGTAGGATGAAAAAATAAGACTCAATAAAGTTGGTTCAATATTCTAATTAAATGAAGAAATAGGACTTGTAATGTGAATCCATGAATAGGGAACAATAGATCTCAATATGGTACTGAAAAATCCCTAAACTGAATTCCTAAACTGAATTCCTAAACTGAATTCCTAAACTTAATTGGAAAAACTTATATTTTTTAACGATATTAACTGTTTTGTTAAGACAATTTTCGTTAAGTCTGATTTAAGTAGCTGTTACATATAGTTGTATCGTCAGTTATAAAATTACTGCTATACTCAATCAAAACGTAAATATAGATATCTCTTTATCTATCAGAATCTTATATTTATTAATCCCGAATCTAAAAGAATATATTGAAATGTTTAACAGTATTATTCGGTCAATATTCAGATTACATTAGAAACAAAAAAAAGTATATTAAGACGAAGTAATATATAAAAGGGTACGTTGAAGATGACCTGAGAAAGATTAAAACTAAAACCTATCACATACTTTCGGCTTTTGAGAGACTTAAAGTTAACTTAAAATTTTTATTAAGCTTTAGTTTCTGTAGCAACGTTCTCCGTTTACTCTGATGCAGAAAAAAATATATAAATTAATATAGGAATCAGATATCAGAAATGCGAAAAGATAAAGGGGAAGTCTAACCTTTCTACTTTGGTAGCGTAAGGGCTCAGGATAGTGTTTGCTTTAACACAATTAAACAAATCGTCAATGCAATGACCTGTAATTTAGTTACACGTTTAAAATAGATAGATTAATTTGTGATAAGCAACTGTTTAGATCGCTGCTAAGCCGAGCTTAACTTTTATCAGTTTATCAGTCTATCTTAAATTTTGTTGAGCTTCATATGGGAACTTGTAAAAGGTTCTAAAGGTGTGAAGGACTATAAGTTGCCGTCAATAATCAACCTTATTCTTGTTAATATCATTTACTTTTTTCTAAGGTATATTGTTTTAAGTCCTTGCAATGATATGAAATGTACTGCCATAAATTAAACTTGACTTGCCATATAATTTGACATAAAAATTGTGATTATACCAAGTATCGCTCCCATATGGTACTCAAGAATGTTCCCTGCCTGAATTACAACAAGTACAGAGACATAATCAGTATACCTATTTTTAATTTTGGAGTAATAAGCACTTCGTTTAGAAGAGAAGTTACAATTGTGAATTTTAAACATGAATTTATTAATAAAAAATAGTATTTTTTTTTTAAATATATATATATATATATATATAGTGTCTTGTACTTCATATTCTTATCACTCGATAGAAATTTTGTCAGACAATACGTAAACAATAAATTATCATTAACAAAATCAAGTGATATAATTAATTTTAAATGAATTTTCGAAAAAAAAAAAAAAATATCACATAAATTAATATCTATAAATTCATATAAGATAAAATAAGTCACGCGACTTTACTTACCTTTTTATACAATTTGATCCATGTCGAATCGCCTCTTGAGTCGGTGTATTGCAAACCAAAGAACCAAACCTCACGTAAACCAATTGTTTTGACAACTTGATCGAAGAGTTGCTTACCGGTGGTGGCTTGCTGTATGGCAAACTCCAGCTCGGCATCCATTGTGGTGACGCGTACATTTAACTAGAAGCAAAAATAAAAGGTATTATTATTAATAAAATAAAATTTATTAAATTTCTATAAATAATTATCTTAAATTATTTGATACCATACTAACAACAATTACGCATAACTGAAATAGTTACAGTTCAATTGTGGAATAGGAAATTATGTATCAAATGTTACTGCCAATATAAGATGTATGATAAATATTTCCATTTTAATAATATTTATGTTAAATATAGTATACGAAATCGCCATGGTGCAAAGCTATGTAGTGGGCTGCTAGGGTCGGCATGAAATTATACGTTATGCATGACTGCCGTGGTTAGCGTTGGGACTGACAACAAACATTAGAAAGTGGGACATAGTCACGCTCACCTGCACGTGTGTGATGTCACAAACGCTGTCAGAGACGTTTAGCGACGCATTTGCATGTGGATATGGAAAACAATTTTCCGACAAGTGAAATGACCACCGACCACCGTAGAAAAACAAATAAGTGTATAGATAATATAATAAAAAAAAGTACTAACAGACATTAGGTAGGAATATTGAGCATCGTCCATGTGCAATTTGTCAACACTCTCTCTGTTAGTATACAATTTCTTTCAATTTTAATCTTTTTTGTTGGTATTTTAATTTTATTTGCATAACAGTGAATGACTGACTGCATCCAAATATGAACGCACTGAAACTGGCGACTAAAACTGAATGGCACTGCATGCATGCATTTAGAAGTGGCGCATTTGCGACATGTGACTTAAAATTACTGAAATGTGTGTCACTGGTCTTCTTTATATTGACGCGAATGTTATGTATGGTGACACACAACGGTATACAAATGATTGATTTTTGATATACCATTTTATTTTTCAGATTTACAAGTTAATTTCGTAAAACGTAGTGCACGTTTATTGTATTCTACTCGTATAACAATTGCGATTAAAATAAAATAAATAATTTCGATAGAAGAAAAAAAAAATTAAAAATACTAACAAAGACAATTAACTAGAATTTTAATTTAATCTATATACAGTGTTGTGCATAACAAAAGCAACCAAAATTTGCCCATTCAATAAATAAGTTTTTTGTCTACTTTTTACTTTTCATTCAAAAATCTAAATACACAGTTTTATTTGTTATTGTATTAGCTATTATAAAAAAACAACAAAATCTACAATTCTTCATAACGGGTTAATTAATTCACACAAATAATAAAATATTGCGAAATGCGGCTGTGCAGAACAATAGCAACTTTATTTATTATATTAAATTTTTGTATTATTTTTCTAAATTTTGTATAAAGCCCTTTGCTTTTTATTACTTGGGCACTTATACGGGTCATAGGTGATATTAAATTGTTAATAAAACTATTTGGAATTTTACACCATTCATCTTTCATGACCTCAAACAATTGGAAACTTTTCGACCCCCAAAGCGACGTTTGAGAATACCAAAATGTTCTCAATTCAATTAAAATCAGGTGTTTGGGCTGGCTAATCTAAAATTGGAATTCCATTTTTCAAAATCCATTCTCTTATCAGCTTTAAGGTGTGTTTTGGGTCGTTATCGTACTGATATACCCGTCGGAGTGACATTTTTCATCCGCCATGGGGTACCATATGGCTCTCTAAAATTTTTTTGTACACATGTTGGGCTATTATTTGATGAATTTCATGAAAAGATCTTAGTCTAAATCCTGAAAAGAACGCTCAAATTATTACTGACCCACGCCCATGCTTCACAGTCGCTTGGCAGTTACGCGGATACAAACGATTTTCTTTTTCGCGACGTACTGTGCACATCCCATCAGAATTAAAGATGCTAAATTTTGATTTATTGCTGAAAAAAATTATTTTCCATTTAGTAAAAGTCCAATTTAAGTGATTCCACGCGAAATTTGATCTAAATGAAGTATATTAATATTAATTAAAAAGCAAAACAAAAATCTGCCTCTTTTGCTAATGCTTTTTAGTCAACATTGGTTTTTTGACTGGTCTGTAACTTTTGAAACCGGCTTCGAGAGTAAGCCTGCGTACAGTATTAGAGTCAACACCTTGTTTAAGCTCGGCTACGACCTTTTTCAACGACACGAATGGTTGTTTTTTTTGTAATTCTTATGATGTTTCGATCAATTCTACAAGTAATCTTAAGAGAGCCTTCACCCAAATAAACCGTTTTAACGGTATTTTGTCTAATTATATTTTTTTATAAGCTGCGAAACAATAAACTAATTAATTTTAAATATTTTGGCTATTTCATTTGAGCACTGCCATTTAAATATTTTTCAATTCTTGCTTCTTTAAACTTCAAAGTATACGTGTCACGAGCCATGATAAAAACGTACTTCCATTACCTGATTTAATATTGAACTATTCTGTGTTTATGTTCTAATTTGCTTAAAAACATAAATCACAGCATAAAAATGCAAAAAATCAAAAAAATATCTTGCTAGAATGCACTTTGGTCATAGATCTATCATTGATCTTGTCTCAGTTGCTATTGTTCTGCACAGCCGCATTTCGCAATATTTTATTATTTGTGTGAATTAATTAACCCGTTATGAAGAATTGTAGATTTTGTTGTTTTTTTATAATAGCTAATACAATAACAAATAAAACTGTGTATTTAGATTTTTGAATGAAAAGTAAAAAGTAGACAAAAAACTTATTTATTTGATGGGCAAATTTTGGTTGCTTTTGTTATGCACAGCACTGTATATATATAGTTATTATGAAAATATGGTGGTCTAACCACATATCAAATACAGAACTTTTGCTCCAAACAAATCAGAAAGCTCCTGTGAACGAAATAAAAATTCGGAAATGGAATTGAATAGGACATACTATTCGACGACCAAATAAATACATTCCACGACAAGCTTAAACGTGGAACCTACAAGGTAGAAGACGCCCTGGTGCACCGGCTTTAACTTGGAGAAAGACAATTGAAAGAGAAATGACAGTAGCGCACTATACATAGAACGATATATGCAGAGAAGCACCTAACAGAGTGCGGTTTAAGAGAAGCGTTGCAGCCCTATGCCCCATTAGAGGAAACAGACACTAAACACACTAAGTACAAAGATTAAGAAAATATATATTCAGATTTTACATTATATATTTGGACTTTTTAAATAAGTTTTCTACTTCTCCTTTTCTAAGCATTGATAAACAAAATTAAACAGATGAACAATCCTTTTGTCAGTTTTCAAGATCGACTTGGTAAAAACTGAACAGGAAACGTAGAATTAGTAAAGAGCGGAAGACACCCATTATTTTGAAAATAGAATGATTTAATATAGAAAATATAGTGGTGCAAATGGTACCAAGAACGATTGTTACTATATCTCTGAGACACTTGTACTGCCATTCATCCACTTACGTTGAAGATTCACTATTTACAATAAAAACGAAAAAGCAGGTTTTGCTGACATGGATAAGACTTTGGACTACACAATAATACATTGCAGAAATCTGGTATAATGTATCTGTATTAAAATAAAATGGTTGAAAAGAAATAATGTAAACTAGTTGTGTGCATTGAGTTCAGAAAACAACATTTAATATTAAAACTTCTGAAAATTGGATAATATTTATAAAATATATTTTAAGGTGCATATAAAGAAAAGAGTCAATATAAAATTTAAAAGTAATTTGTTCAGCACATATAACATTTAATATAACATAATAAATATAATATATAGTATAATATATATAGTATATATACTATGAAATATAAATATATAGTTAAACTATAGAATAAAAAGCTTTAAGGTTATTATTACAAAAAAAAACAATATGTTAAAAAAACAGTACATATTTAAAAACATGTTTAAAATTCTTATGTTATGACTAAGAATATATTTTCTTAACTTATGTTAACTATTTATCTTAGTCATTACTTAAATATAAAAAAACAATATTTTTGCTTAAGCAACCATTTCAAGGTGTTCAATCGATTTTTTTTTAAGAGACACTAGGGTAAATATGGAAATAACTATTTGACTACTAATTTTATTTTTAGTTAGATGATTTTATAGTGATAAATTATATAAATCATTTTAATTGTTAAATGATTTTACTTGATCCCAATACTCGTCAGCTGAGTTTAGATAACTTTTAAGTAAACTGATGAAATCAAAAAATCGAAATTAGGTTATTTAAGCAACTCTTACAAAAAATTTAATTTAAATTATATACCCACAGTGACGAATTCAATTCAGATTTATCAACCTCAAATTTTAAAACCATTGAAAATTCAAAAGAAACTTGACTTTCTTGTATAATTTTTTTATAATTTATATGATTTAAGACAGATAAATACAAAAGTGGGCCATGATATTTTCACATAAGTGGTATAATAAAGAAAAACCACAATGCAATGGCTATAAAAATAAGATGCAATTTAAACAGAATGGTAACCACCATTCTAATTATCAATTAGAAATTAGCATATATATTCTATATATGCTAATATTAATTTTAACAAAAATATAAAAAATATATAATAATTAAAGTGTGAATTTATAAAATAAAAGAATTCTATATCAATTTAATGCATTGAAATTACGATATAAAACAAATGCATTAATAGCATAAATACAAATATAATATATATGTAAATAACGCATACATCATATATGTTAAGATTTGTTTATGCATCAAATCAAACATAAATAATAGTATCGATCCCAACACTCAATCCAATTAACGTTTTGAGGTTAATGCAGTCAGTCATACCCAGCCTGTGTGCGCATGGAATTGAGTGCATGCGAGTCTAAGCTACATGATGAACACCTTTCATTGTCTAACTTTTTTCTCGCATGCTACAAAAATTGGTCAAAATAACAAATTGCAAAATATAGTACAGTTTGTGTTTTCAAATCAAAAATTATTTGGATTAGTATTTAAATAGATATTTTAAATATTTATATATTTTAATATAACTAAATTATATTTAAAAAAAATTATATATTAAATATATATTTTTAATTAATAATAATTTTTTTTCAATTAAAA